CTGTCCCGGTGTCGCTGTCCCGGTGCCGCTGTCCCGGTGTCGCTGTCCCGGTCCCGCTGTCCCGGTGCCGCTGTCCCGGTCCCGCTGTGCCCGTCCCGCTGTCCCGGTCCCGCTGTCCCGGTCCCGCTGTCCCGGTGACCCCGCCCGGCCCCGCCGCCGCTGCCCCGCGCGGCCCAGAGGGGGCGCCCTCGGCCCAGGCTTCCCCAGCGGCGGCGCGCGCGGCCCCGCGCAGGTGAGCGCGGCCCCGCGGGGGCCCGGCCGGGCGCGGAGCGGCCGCGGGGACGCCTCGGTGGCGGCGCCCGGTGCCGCCGCCTCGGTGCCACCGCCTCGGTGCCGCCGCCTCGGTGCCACCGCGGCCGCCGATGTGCGCCGGGCTTCTCCCCCCGCCCCCTCGGCCCCTGTCCCTGGCCGCTGGTCCCCGGGCTGGAGCCGGGTGGGAATCTCTGCTGACCCCTGCGAGGTCTGTCACAGCCATCCCCTTTGCCTCGGTGCCCGCTCCCCTTCCATCCCCCGCCAAAGCGCTGCCCCGCGAAGGCGCGCAAGAAAAGCCGGTCCCCGGGCGCGGGCAGGGCCGGCTGTGCTGCCGGCTCCCCGCCTCGGCTGCGGGAGTGCAGCGGTCCCGTTATTTCCCCTCCCGGCTCCCCTGGGCCGCCGCCCCGGCCCCCCTCCCCCTGCTGCCTCCGACAGGCTCCGCGTCCCTGCTGCCCCACGGAAAACACACACAGTCCGCGGCACCCGCCCCGGCTACCCGGCCCATTCAAACAAACAAACAGAAACCCGCCCCGTCGCAAAGCCAACCGACGGTAAACTTTCTAATGACTTCTTCTTTCAAGTGCTTAAAAGGCAAGGAGCACCGGGGGAGGGAAAGAAGGGGGCATCCATCTCCCGGCCGGGGCGGGAGGGGGGCCAGAGCTGCGGTCGCTCGGGGTCCGTCCGTCCCTCCGTCCGTCCTGCCGGACGACGGGACAGGGACGGGAGCCGGTGTGTGGTGGGTGTGTTTGCAGGAACCGGGAAGGAGGGAGGGGACGGGGGGAGTTAAAGAAACAGCATAGTTAATATTTCCACATCAGGAAGTTACTGTAATAGCCCAGGGGGCAAAAGACTTAACTTAATCTCCTAAATAGAGAGGAACCCATGGCGTCTCTGTTATAGGTTGGAGTTCCCACGTGGTTTTAACTCCTGTATAAAAGTTTCAGTAGAAAGTGCCACAATGTCGTGATTTTGCAGGGGGGAAAAATTAGCAGAAGGAGATCAGAGAAGATACACGAGGAGCAAGCAGCTTCCCCGAGACCTTTCACTGCGGATCCGAGAGGGAACATCAGACGCGTAAAAAAAGAAAAACAAAAAACAAAAACAAAAACCAAAAAGCCAAACAAAACAAAAAACCCAAACAAAACAAAACACAGCGTTCAAGCCAGCACAAGGCGAGCGAAAGATCAAAAAGACGCAGAGGGAGACAGATTAACTGGAGCAGCAGCAGCAGCAACAACAACAAAAATCACACTTAAAATAATAATAACAACAATAATAATAAAACCCAAACCACCAACAAGGGAGATATTGTTTAAAAGGGCAAGCGAGAGAGCGAGCCGAAGAGCTGGTCTGACCGAGTGGATCCGTGCAGCTTCTCCTGGGATCGCCGGGATCGCGCCGCTTCTCCGCTCCGCGTCGCGCAGCGTGCGGTGCCCTGCCCGCGGCGGGGGTCCCTGGGCGCCGCCACCGCATCCGCGCCGGACTCCGGACCCTCCGCGCTGCTTTGAAAATAAAAGCATCTCGCTAATAATAAGCGGGACGGTGGGGGGAGAAGACTCGCAACAGTGGAGCTGCCAGCCGCGCACCCTCTGCCCGCCGCCCCCGGCTCCCTCCCCAGCTATGCTCCGGGTCAACTTTGATGGCACGTTGAGAAGCAGCGGGCGCTGAAGGGGGACAACCGAGCGGCGCGGAGCCGACCTGCTCAGAGACCTGCACCCACGGATTGTCTTGCGGGGGCGGAGTGGGCGGGGGGGTACAAGTGGCATTTCTCCCCCCCCCTCCTTCCAGGCTATAAATTGGATTGTATATAAATCTGCTTCGTTTATCTCCCTGACCCCCCTCAATGACGCTGGACTAGAGAGCTCCTCTCCGCGGCCCGCCCGGACCTGCCGAAGCGAGCGATGGACCACGAGCGACTGCGCCCGGGGATGCCCCTCTGAAGCGACGCGGGGCACCGGGGCAGAGCGGCGCCGCCTCTCCCCTGCTCCCCGGATCCCCTCGCACCTCCGGCTCGCTCCCCGCTCCCCCTCCCTCCTCCCCGGGCTCCGCAGCCACCCCCTCACCTGCTGCCGTCCCCCTCCCCCGTGGAGCCGGGCTCTCTCCGTGCACGCCAAGCCTGTTCCCCCCCCGCCGCCAACTTCGCCCTCGGTGCCTGCGCGTGCAGCCTCCCCCTCCGCCTCCCCGGCGGCACACGCCGCTTCCCGGGCGCCCCCTCCCTCCGCCGCGGCTCCCCCCCTGCGCGGAGCGGTTGCGGCCCCCCAGCTTGGCTGCCACCGCCCCCTCCGCGCCGCGGAGCGCTCGGAGCGGCGCTGCCTGCAGACGGGCTCCCTGCGGCGCTCCGGGGCGGCCCCCAGCTCGGCCCCCCGCTCCTCCGCCATGGACGGGGCGGCTCGCCGGGGGGTGCTGGCCGCGCTGCTGGCCTGCGGGCTGCTCCTGCTGGGCGCCGCGGCCACCCCGACCCCGCCGGCCCCCGCCGGCGGCTCCCCGCAGGACACATGCACCTCCTGCGGCTTCCGGCGGCCCGAGGAGCCGGGCAAGGTGGACGGGGATTTCCTGGAGGCGGTGAAGCGGCACATCCTGAGCCGGTTGCAGATGCGGGACCGGCCCAACATCACGCACGCCGTGCCCAAGGCGGCCATGGTCACGGCGCTGCGCAAGCTGCACGCCGGCAAGGTGCGGGAGGACGGCCGCGTGGAGATCCCCAGCCTGGACGGGCAGGCGAGCGCCGGGCCCCCGGCCCACGACCCGGTCTCCGAGATCATCAGCTTCGCCGAGACAGGTGGGCACCGCCCGGCCGCGCTCCCCCGCCGCCCGCGCCCCTCTGCCCGACCCGCCGCGGCCCCTGCCCTGCCGCGCTCCCCGCCTGTCCTGCCTCGCCCCGTCTGTCATTCCCCCTGCTCGACCCCTGTCAGTCCCCCTGCTTGACCTCTGTCAGTCTTCCCTCTCGCCCTGCCTGTCCTCCTGCCCACCTTCTCTTTCCGCCTGCCTGACCCGTAGCACTTCCCCGGCTGCCCTTGCCTGGCCCGCTGCGCGCCCTGCCTGTCCTCCCGCCTGTCCTTCTGCCTGGTACGGGCACCTGGCCGCCCGGCTCACCCGCTTGTCCTCCGCCTCATTCGCTCTCCCCTCTGCCCCGCACCGTCTCGCTCTGGCCCTGCCCTCGCTTTTCCATTCTCCCTGCTTTGCCCCTGTGCCCGGGATTCTCCCCAGGTTGTGCCTTGCAACTCCCTTCTCTCGTCCCTCCATCCCTCCGCAGCCTCCGTGCCCCCGGCTCCCCTCTGGCGGTCCTTCGAGCAGCACCGGGGCTTGTCTCTGTCCCCGCGTGTCCCGCTGTCCCTCCTCTGCCTGTCCCGCTCCATCTCTTGCATCCCTTGCCTTGTCTGTCTGCCCTGCACATTCATCTGGTTCACTGCCTGCATCTGTCTGTTGAGGCTTGCATTTCCCCATCCTCTCTTTCCATTTGTTTCCCATTTATTTGGCTTTCATTTGCAGTATTGGCCTTGTCTATTTGTCCATTGCATGCAGTGTCCAACCAAGTGTGTCTGTCTCCTCTCTGTCTGTCAGTCTATTTACTAACTGCCCTCCATCCCCACGGTACCAGCCATCTCAGTCCTGTCCAGCCATTGCAGTTATGTGTCACCGAATCCCTTCAGCACAGCTTTCCAGTAGTTTAACCACTGTCCCCATGAACTTTGCACATCTGGCTGGAACAGCATCACTCTGCGCATTACCTGTCTATATCTGCCCATCTCTCCTTTCCTTCATCACTCTATCGCTTGTTTCATTTTCCTCCCTCTATCTTCTTGTGGCATCTATATATCATTTGTCCACAAAATAAATCTCTTTCTATCCTGTATGCTGCCCACTCATCTTCTTTATCTACCCTCCCACTTACCAAAGGCATATACATTTACAGTATCTATGGGATCTGTTGCATTATACATATGCTTGTTATATTCACATACAAAATTTATGAGTGCACACAATCTCACACAACACAAGTGATGTGGATCGGTGCAGCAGCACCGTACTGTTCTTTTTCTGTCACTGTCACCACAGTTTATGAAAAAGTTGTGTATTTACTAACATGAGAAAGGCTTTCTTAGTGTACATTTTGGGGGTTATTATTTTTTAATAGGACGTTGTTGGGAGATTGGGGGTGGGCTCGTACTTCCATTTGGTATTCAGTCAATCGCTGTCTTTTGTAACACTTCCAAAATTGACTTTATGTAAAACGTAGACAAACACAGTGAAAATTTTTGTCACTGAACTATTACAAGGTACTGAATGGGCTCTGGAGGCACATATGAAAGGCATCTAGGGTAACAAATGAAGACACCGACTACGCAAAAAATCCCATTCAGAGATTGACAAAAATGCTAAAGATTCTTAGGGAAGGAAAAGGCAGGAAAAAAATCTACATTTAGCTCTGTACAGACGGAAGCAAAACCGATAAGGGCAGATGAGAAAATGCCTTTCCAGCAATAATTTTAAATAGCGATTGGGATGCTTTGATTCAGGGATCAGAATTACAGTCTCCGCCATAAAGGCCGTCACATTTATCACCTACGCCAAATTTAGTTAGGACTTATATTACAAAATTGCAGGAAGGCCGCTGGTATTTCTGAAATGTTTCGTGCAGCAGGCTCTTCTGTTTACAAATAAGGGGTTATGTCAGACATTTGGTGACATTTGGTTTTCTGTGACAATTTCTCTCCTTTAATTCTGGTGTTGCTGAAATGCGTATTGAGAACAGCCAATAACGGCGTTACAGCGGGAACAACCGCTTCATTGCCTTGCCTCGTATGGGAGCTCATCGTTCTGGGGAGAAAAGGCAGAGATTGAAATGATTAATAATAGCCGATATTCTACCAGACTAAGTGGGGGTTAGCTTGATCTGTTGGACAAGCAGGCACATTACTGAAATATTTTCCGTTCTGTCTCATGAATCCTCTCCTTTAAACCGCAACAAGAATACGTGCAAATCGAAACAAAATCCCTGGTTTGGCATTGGCGTTTTAGTGGTTATTGAAAGAGCTCTCCCCATGAGAATTGGCAGGTAGCTGAAAGTTAAAACTATTCTTAAACTGATGAGATAGCAGAATCTAGTCCTAGCGCCGGTCTTTTTCAAGGTGCTGCTGTAGCATCTTTAAATCTGGCTTTCTGGAAAAACCATATATTGGGGAAAACTCTTACTGTTGTCTGTGCATCTGACACATCCGACGACAGCCCGATGTTGAAGGCTGCTGTGAGAAGTCCCCTTTTCAATTAATTCTAATTGCAAATTTGGGATATCTGATGCAGTGCATGCCTTCTGACTGGCACAGCCCCGTCACTGTTCACTCGATCCGCTGTGCTCTAGTGTTGTCCCTGAATCCAGAATGGCACACAAGCTAACATTTCCTTTTTGACTTAATCTTGCTGATCTCTCCTTATCTTGCAGACGATCTGGCCTCATCTAGAGTCCGCCTCTATTTCTTCATCTCAAATGAAGGGAACCAGAACTTGTTTGTCGTTCAAGCCAGCCTGTGGCTTTACTTGAAGCTGCTTCCATATGTCTTAGAGAAAGGCAGCAGGCGAAAAGTAAGAGTCAAAGTCTATTTCCAAGACCCGGACACTAGCAACAAGTGGAATGTGGTTGAAAAGAAAGTTGATCTCAAAAGAAGTGGTTGGCACACTTTTCCCATGACAGAGGCAATCCAGGCTCTGTTTGAGAGAGGAGAAAGGAGACTGAACTTGGATGTTCAATGTGAGGGCTGTGAAGAGTATTCAGTGCTGCCAATTTATGTGGACCCCGGGGAGGAATCCCACCGGCCTTTTTTAGTGGTGCAAGCCCGCCTCGCTGATAACAAACACAGGATCCGGAAAAGAGGCCTGGAGTGCGATGGCAGGACCAATCTATGTTGCAGGCAACAGTTTTACATTGACTTTAGACTCATTGGGTGGAATGACTGGATCATAGCACCATCAGGTTACTATGGGAATTACTGTGAAGGGAGCTGCCCGGCCTACTTGGCCGGTGTCCCGGGGTCGGCTTCCTCCTTTCACACCGCTGTCGTGAATCAGTACCGAATGCGGGGGCTGAACCCGGGCACCGTGAACTCCTGTTGCATTCCAACCAAACTTAGCACAATGTCAATGCTGTACTTTGATGATGAATACAACATTGTGAAAAGGGACGTTCCCAATATGATTGTGGAAGAATGTGGTTGTGCTTGATTTAAGGTGTGTTTTGGGGGGGGAGAGAGAGAGAGAGGGGGAGAGAGAGAGAGAAACATTCCCGTACAAGATGGTGTTGGAGGAAGTTTCACTGTGTATCCGGGCATCAGTGTTGGAAAGTCACTGTGGAAAAGTTTGACAAAAAAAAAAAGAAAAAAATAATCATTTCACTTTGGTGTCAGGACAGTGGCAGTTTGTGGATCATGGACACTTATATATTCTATCACTTATAAGTTAATGCTATGAAATATCTTAAAAAGACACACACACACACACACACACACACACACACACAAAATGTGGGCACGCATACAAACACACGCTCAGACACACAGACACACACAGACACACACACATGAGGCAGCTCGGAAAAGGGACATGAGCACAGAAAGTCAGTGACCAGTGACGATGGACCTAAATGCCTGCCAGTACGAGTGAACGGCTGAGCAGCTGTTTCCCCGCCTGCCGGCAAAGCCAGACCGAAATGAGCTCCCTTTGCTCAGGCAAAAGCACAGACTGTGAGAACACAACGTATTCTTGCACGCAGGTGTCAAAATGACCAAACTTAGAAAACTAAAAAAAAAAACAAAAAAGAAAAAAAAAAAAGTCGACTGTCACCTCTTAGGTCTAACAGGAAGCTGCAGGACACCTGCCTTGGGAGGCTATCACTTCCTCTTAATTTAAATTTATCTAAACATAAACATCACAGATACCCACTTCTTGCTACAGCACTTCCAGCAAGGAATTCTGTGGTTCCATCGGGGGGAGAGAGAGAGAAAGAAAAGGGGGCAGACATGTTAGAAACTGCTGTATTTCTAACTCCTGGCTGTTGTGGAGTCACAAGCTGGGCTGGTACGATCCGATGCTTTTACTGCCCACTAGCAACCCATGGTTGGCTACACCCGCCGTGTCTTGGAAAAGGGAATCGATACCATATCTGGACTGTGTTGACTGTTGGCATCTCTCACTGTGCAAAGAACAAAAAGTCAAAAGTTGCAATCTGTGTTCTTCAGTGGGGGACTCGGCAAGGCTACGTCACGTGGGGGACGAGCAAGCAAGCAGTGGCCACCACGGCTAAACCAATGAACCCTAAAGAGGAGTGACAGCGACAGAGTGGAGACGTTCTGGGAAATGCAGTGCATTTAATAACAGGCGAGGAGCA